CACCTCACCAGGATTTTTATGGAGTCTCCTGGACGGGTACCTGAAGTTATATTGGCCATAACCCACCCCTTTCAGTGCCTTTAAACTAGACCTAGGTTTCCCCTCTGAGTTGTGTAGATCCTACAGCACCAAGGGTGAAGGAGAATCCATGTGGTGTCTAGACTCATAGTCCACGTATCTCCTTAGCCCACGGAGAATCCAGGAGACTCCCTGGAACTTGAGCCATTCACTGTGTGTCTCTCCGAAATTCTGACTTCTCTTCTTCTGGCTCAGGGTCTCTGGCCTTTTTGGGGTGGGGTAGGGAGGTCGGTTGTAACCAAGGGGCAAATGTTAGCTGTCATGGTGACACTTGGTAATGCTGCGTTCCAGCTGGGCCATCTCTGGTCAGGAAGCCAGCTGGTGAGCTCGAAACAATGGCAAAGGGTGTAGGGAGCGGGGAAAGCTTATGAATTAAAAATAGATGCTAGTAATAGCCTGGAGACTGGAGAGAGCATGTGCAGCTCTCTATTTACGAGGAGAGAAGAATACTTTCTATTCAGGCATAGAGACTACAGGGATTAAACCATCACCACCCAGGCTTCTCACATTAACCAAGTGTCCTCTAGTGCCTGAGGGAAACCAGCTGCTGACAGCGAACCATGTTTCCCGAACAGTCCCTTTACCTCTCCTCCCTGCCCCCAACCCCCGGTTTTTATTCTAGGTGGGAATATGGGATCAGAGGACCTCCAAGATCATCTAGTCCAACCCCCTGCTTTTAGATGAGGGCTCTGAAACCCAGAAGATCCAAGTGACTTCCCCAAAGACACACATGTAGTTAAAGGAACAGGATTTGAACCCAGGTCCTCTGACTTCAAATCCAGTCTGTCCTCATTCCTCTTGATCCTCCCCCAAATTTGCACTTCACATTCCTGAAGGAAAAGCTCCAAGGGCTAGAAAAGCTTAAGGAAAGGGCAGCTAAGAGAAGCTATGATGAGGAAATGGAAGGAAGCCTTGCTCTGGGATCCGGTGACGCTGGCTTTCTTGCCGTTCCTTGCACAAGACCTTCTATCTCTTGACTCTGTTCCTTTTCTCTGGCTGTCCCCTGTGCCTGGAAGGCTCTCCAGTCTCATCCCTGCCTCCTGGCTTTCTTCAAGACTCCGTTTACATGCCACCTTCTTCTAGGAGCCTTCCCCAGTGCCCCTCACTGCTAGTTCCCTTCCTCTGAGATTACCTCTATTTCACACTGTAGATATCTCTTATGTTCATATTTGCTCGTATGTTGTCTCTTCCGTTAGAACTCGAGGTCCTTGAGGGCAGGGACAGCATTTTTGCCTTTCTTTGTATCTTTAGATTTTAGCATGGTGCCTGGCACATAGTAAATTCTTATTGGCTAAAAAGGCATCTCAGGTCACAGTCAGGTCTATGGAAAAGACAATCAAGTGAGGAGGGGAGAGAATCGGGTCCTAGTCCTGGCTGTGCCTTTGGATGGGTGATCTCAGCTAAGCTGTGAAGCTGCTGGCTCGGTGGCACAGTACACAGACCTCTGGCCCATTCTGAGAGCTCTGAAAGATTTGACTCTTTAGCTGGTAACTGTCTCTAGCTCTCAAGATGGCAAGCATCTTAGTGCCCTTCTGCCCTGAAAGGGTTAATGCCACTTCCACAAGGGTGAAACTGAGAGCCTCGTAAGAATAGTTTCAGTCAAATGTTAGCAATTGAAGGGACCTGGAAGAGCATTTTATTTAACACCTTCATTTTACAGATTCAAATTCTTTCTCTGATATTTACTAGCTGTGTGACCCTGAGGAGGTCACTTAATTCAATTATCCAATTCAACAGACATTTATTTATGCTTAACCTCTCTCAGCCTCAGTTTCCTCATCTGTAAAATAAGGATAAGCACCTACATCCCAGGATTGCTGTGAAGATCACATGAGCTAACTTATGTGAAGCACTTTGCAAACTTTGAAATGCTATTTCAATGCTGGCTCTCATTACTTAATCTCTTTGAGACTTATCAGTGAAATGGAGCTAATAATTCCTAACCTACCTACTTTTCATGGCTACTGTGAAAATCGATTCAAGGTCACAAATGTGAAAAATTAAAAGTGACCGACAGATGTAAAATAACAACTACTACTATCTTAGGTAGGACCCAGAAAATTCAAGAGTCCAGCTGTAAAGACAGGCTATATGATCTGGTCAACAAGTCACTGAATGCCACTGGGCCTTCACTTGAATCCTTCCTCTCTGTCTCGCTCTCTCAGGAACAATGTGCAGATAAGAATGAGACAACAGATGGAGAAGCCTGGCAGGTCAGCTTACCAAACTGACTAGTACGTCCAACCTGTCATAAGAACCCTACTCGACCCTTGGCCCATCCCATTCCTGTGTTTCCAGCATCAACAACCCCATTCTCTCCTTACCCTCTGCCTTCCATTGCCCTCTGCTTGTCTGGAAAACCTTCTAAACCCTGCTGCATTCATGAATGAGGATGTTCATCTTCTCTTTTATTACAAAATAGAAGTAGTAACAGAGTTCCTTAACTGTACTTAAAAAAAAAACCCATTAGGTACAACAGTCTTGGATGCAAGACCAACAGATACTCATTAAAACTCAAATGTTTTACCATTCACTACCCTGTCCCCTCTGAGCTCTGGACCACATAACAATTTCCATTGATTCATTTACCTCTCACCTTTTAGAGAAAGGATCTTTAACTTTCTCTGAGAGACTTACTTCTGATTTTCCCCCAAAGGAAGAACAGAGAATTGTGGTATCTAAGTGCCATCCACTGAGAGTTTTGGAGGATGGGGCTGGCCACCAGAAATGCTCTCTTCCCTACAAGCTAAAGATTAGTGGGCTTGGTGATCATACAGACTGGGCTTTAAGATCTATTGGCAGCTAGGGGTTTACCTTTTAGAGAGCCCTGATCTGAGGAATGAAGGGCCAGGATCACCCATGGAGTTTCTAGAACAGCTCAGGAGCCAATGATGGTAAATTCTACAATGTACAAAAATAGGATTGAACCAAAGTACCATGAAGGATGGGGATTATGTGGGCCTAGAAAATGGAACTGTATTTGTATTAAAACATTATGGATTCTATTCTCTAGTGCCAGTTTTAGCTGGCATTGACTTTTTCTTTTTTTTTTGGCATTAACTTTTTTCTGAGAGAGCTACTTTTGATTTTATCCCAAAGGAAGAGCAGAGAACCGTGGGATCCAAGGGCCATTTTGGAGGATGCAGCTGGCAGCCAGATATACTCTCTTCTCCACAAGCTAAAGAGTAGTGGGCTTAGTGGTTACCCACACTGGGCTTTGAGATCTATGGCAGATAGAGATCTATCTGTTAGAGAGCCCTGATCTGAGGAACTAAGGGCCAGGATAACCCATGGAGTTTCTAGTATAACTCAAGAGCCAATAGACAGTAGGTTCTAAAGCTTGCAAAAGAGGATTATACCGAAGTACCATAAGGGATGGAGACTATGAGGGCCTAGAAAATGGAACTGTATTGTGCTAAAATATTATGGATTCTATTCTCTGGTGCTGGTTTTAGCTAACTTGTCACATGGTCATTGAAATTATACAAAGGCATTCTAGTTTATATTGCTATGAAGGTATCAGTGGTTTAAACATGGATTATTCACCTGGGGCCTGCAAACATGAAATGCCAAAATTGCTCCCTTTTACTAGTCTCTTAATTTTGCAAGTAAGAGTTCCTTACAATTTCCAAAAGATTTCACTTTCATTGTCTTTTTTGGTCTTACCATCTCTGTGAGTGACATAAACATCTCCCTTTGATAGAAGGGAAAATGAAGATTCCAAAACACTTCACATCTATATCTTCCTTTTCACTCATGGTACCAACACCTTCCTTCATGTCCTCATCACCTCTGACCCACACTTTTGTAAAAACTGCCTGCATAACTGGTCTCCTTGCCTTCACCAGTCTCTTTCTCCTCTAAATAGGTGCCAAAATAATGTTCCTTAGGCACAGGTCTGACCATGTCACTCCTGCTCAAAACCCTTCAAAGGTTTCGTATTGCCTCTAAGATCAAATAACTCCTTGGCCTGGTATTTAAAACCTTCCACAACATAGCTCTCATCTACCCTTCTGTTCTTATTTCACATTATTCCCCTTCACATACTCTGCAATCCAGTCAAACGGAATTCCTAGCTGTTCCCTAACCTTGCCTTATTTTCTGTAGTCTTTGTGCATTCATGCAGACTACCCTTCATGTATAGAATCCCCTTCCTCCACATCTGAGTTCCTTTTCTCCTTCATGGTCCAGTTCAGGTGCCACTTGATCCACAAAGCCTTTCTTGATCAGTTGAAAGTGATCTCTCCCTCCTCAAATTTTCTTACATTATTCTGTCTGGATCTGTGCTTCGCCTTTAGTATTCTGAACTTTGTATCACACTTACTTGGGTTCAGGTCATATCCCCACTATTAGTTTGTAAACTAATCCTGAGACCAGGGAGTGTATCATCTTTCATCTCTATATCCCCAGTGCCTAACAGCAGCTTGTAAGCACTTAATGAATGCCTATTGAATTGAACTAAATCAATTCAATAGCTTGGCCAAGGTCACAGTTATTAATTGGTATAGTTGTGACTAGAATCCAGATATCCTGACTCTCAGTCCGGGGCTCCGTCAACTGCGCAACACTGCCAATCAGCACACTTCACAGCTATTTCCTCATTATCATCAGCTGGTCATTCAAGGAGAGCAAACCAACTTTGTCATCAGCCAAGGCAAAATGTAATTAGGAAGACAGATTTAATACAAAATCATGAACATATATAAATTATTTCTTTTCATTGTCTCCCATTTTGGATCATTCACTCCACTGATTCCTCCCATCAGTGCAGATGATACGTATCTCTGAATAGCATCATTGTTATAAACTGAAGCAGGTAGGATCCATAGCTCAGGACAGACTCTCTCTACTCCCTTTCCCTCGTAAAACCTCCCTGACTCCATTCTTCCCGCCTCATGCCCCCAGCCCAATCCCTATTTTACCTTATCAGAAAGGCCCTCAGACTCCTCAGCCAAGAAATAAGTGTTGCTGCTCTCTGTCAACAGCAGGGCAGTGTCGGTGGTGGAAGAAGACCGAGGTCGACACTGGTGTTGGTGCAAGATGGCTGTCAGGCTGCTGTCTTGGGGGGCCTTGCGCAGCAGGTGAGGGCTGCCCCGCTGGGGCTCCAGGGAGCTGCTTTTGGTTCTTCGGCTACTGCTACCACCACCGCCACCCCCTCCACTGCCCCCACTGCTGCTGTGTAGGCTGGCCCCCCTCTTGATGGAGGGGCGGGAGCGGATCTGCTGCAGCACACGGTTGAAGGCAGTGGGCCGAGCAGGCAGGTCGTGCAGGGACATGGCGTAGGAGACACGGTGCATCTCTGGGGAGCGCTCTTTCTCATCCGGGGAGTCATGGTCTGACATGCCGTGCTGCTGCTGCTGGGAGTCCTGAGATGTCTGCTGCTGCTGCTGCTGCTGCTCCCGTTCCCTGGACCGCCTTCGACTGTGGAACAGATGCTTCAGACCGTGGCCAAACATGGAGCCCTCAGAAAGCTGCTGGATTTTCTTAAGGAGAGAAGACAGGACAAAAGTGATCAGAATGCATCTTTCTGACTTGACTTAACAGGTCCTTCGAACCTGGTTCCTAGTGAGATCCCAGTCACTAACAACACTCTTCAAATTCAGAGGTCCCCATGGATAAGTTTCTATTTACTAACATCACTATTTGGAAAGATGACATGCACTACCTACCTCATGCCCCAGAGATTCACTCCCATGGCTACCACATGATGTTCTAAGAGAGTATGGTGGGAAATGACAGGTTCAGGGATACTGAACATCATGCTACTTTAACAATGTTTCCCATGGAATCCATGACTCATATTAGCAAGTTTTATTGATTCAGCCAGGTTCTTCCTAGCCTCACCAGCATGGAGCATCGAATGAAGAATCAGACAGCTTAGGTTCTAATCCTGTTTCCTCTACTTACCAGTTGTGTGAGCAAAGACATCTAACCTCTCTGAACTTCCATTTCCTCCAAAAACTGAGATAATAATTCTTGTCCTGCTTTCCTCATTGGAAGAGAATCAAATTAGATAATTAAAAACATAAAATGTATGTGAAAGCACTTTCAAAACTATGGGTAGTATGGCATAATAGAAAGAGAAGAGTACTGGATTTGAATCCTACTTATGCTATGTATTACCTGTGTTACTCTGGGCATGGTATTTCATTTTTCCAGGATTCAGCTGTCTCACTTGTGATAATAATATTAACAATAGCTAGCACTTATGTAGTGCTTTAAAATTTGCAAAATGCTTCACAAATATAATATTTGATCCTCACAACAACCCTTCAAGGTATTATCCCCTTCCTAGAGATGAGGAAACTGAGACAGACAGAAGGGAAATGACTTGCCCAGGGTCACACTGCTAGTAAGTGTCTGAGGCAGTATTTGAACCTGTAAAATGAAGGCATTGATCTGAATGATCTTCCTGGTCCCTTCAATATCTAACATCTGATTGAAACTATTGTTATGAAGCTTTAAATGTGACACTTCTGGAAGCAGCATTAACCCTTTTAGAGCAGAGGGGCACTAGGACCCTTTCTATCTTGAGAAATAGAGACAGTTGCCAGCTTAAAAGTCAAGTCCCTGGAGCTTTCAGAGTTACCTCACTTAAAACCAGAGACAGTTGGCAATTCCATCATTCTGTCAAAGAGATTATGGTTGCAGACTGAATAAAGAAGCAGCAGGTGTAATGGATACAATGTTGGCCTTGAAGTCAGTAAAATCTATGTTCAAATGTCTCTTTTGATGCTTACTTGCACTAACTATAGGCAAATCCCTTAAGATCTGAGGCTTGGTTCCCTCATCTGTAAAAAGGGGCATAATATTCCCTGCAGTGTCTATTCCATGGAGTTGTTAAGAGGCTCAAATGAGATCAAGTACTTTGAAAATTTTCAAGTATTACATTATTATAAAGTGTATTTTGTGTACTATATATTATGAAGTACTTTTCAAACTTCTAAGAACTTCAAGCACACTAGGCTGACTGGGGCTATGAAATAATAAATACAATCTAGCACATATCCAGAAAAAAAATGTTCTTTCTTTTAAAGTTGTACCCTTAGAAAACTATTTTGGTCATCTCTACTGTGCTTACAATACTCCAAACATTTTTGGAAAAGCCTTTAGGGTCTGTCTGCAGCACATTTTTCTGAATAAAGGATCACAGAATTAGAAGTGGAAAGGGACATTGAAAGTCACGTAGTCTAACTCCTTCATTTCACAAATAAGGAAAGGAGGGATCAGAGAGAGTAATTGACTTGTTTGAGGTCACACAGCAAATAGCAGAATTAGGGTTCAAAACCAGGTCTTCTGTTTCGAAATCCAGGACTATCTTTCCCCTTCCCTACTAATTCAGGTTGGCTTTATACCAAGGACACAAAGCTGTTTATACATTAGGAAAACAATTGGTAAAAATTGTTCACATGTACAATAAAAATGTGACTATATTAACAAATGAGTAAACAACTTCAACAAAATACAGTGCTCATTCATGCCAAAACTATAAAAGAAGTTGTCCTGCTACATGTGATCAAAGGCATATATTCAAAACCAAGAGCCCACATATTTGCAAAGAAGAACCCCTAGAAACCTTCCCAGTAAGTAAAGAGGTAAAGCAAGGATACTCCCATTCCTACCATTTAAAAAGATTTTAAAATTGTATTTATTAAAGGTATAGAAAACCCTTCTTTCTCTCACTAAACATTATTAATAATAGCAATTTAGTGAGAATAATATGATTGTCTATGCTTCATTATTTTTGTTCTTCTAGGAGGATTATTTACTTATTTATTTATGAATTTTAAATTTATTTTTATTTATGAAATAAACAACAAATTAAATGAGTATTTCCATTACACAGTAGAACAGAAGAAGAAAATCATACATGAAACTGTGAATCTTTAGTGTGAAGATCCTGCTTTTCAAGTACATAATAAATTCAGCATGTAACTCAGAGCTACTCTGCTTCTCTGTGATTATTTCTAATTTTTCTGTCCTCATCTGTGCATTTAAAAGGGAATTCTATTCCTCTCCCTTAACCTTCCCTCCCCAAATATATCTTCAGTGGCGGTAAATATTCATTCTTTGAGAATGGTTTTGGTTTTGGGAAACAACCAAAAGTCATTCATAGCCAATTCTAGTGAGTAAGATGTGCAACCAAGCTGGAAAACAGAGATTTTTTTAGGTTGGCAGGAAAGAAAGGAGGAAAATATGATATAGAATTGATTTTCTTATGTAGCTCAAGATGATTCTAAGGAAACTGATCTTCCAAGGAGCTCCAAATATGTTTGGGGCATTGGTGCCAACCTTGCTGTGACATAGCAGCTAGGGCTGGACTTGGAGTTAGCAAGACCTGGGTTCAAATCTCAGTTTGGACACTTTTTAACTGTATGACCCTGTACAAGTAATTTACTTTCTCTGATCCTCTGTTTCCTCATCTGTAAAATAATAAGACATATATGAAGTGTTCTACAAACTTTAAAGATACTTGTTGTGTTATTCAGTCGTTTTCAGTCACATCCAACTCTTTGTGACCCCATTTGGGGTTTTCTTGGCAGAGACACTGGAGTGGTTTGCCATTTCCCTCTCCAGTTCATTTTACAGATGAGGAAACTGAGGCAAATAGGGTTAAGTGACTTGCTCAAGGTCACATAGCTGGTAAGTATCTGAGGCAAGATTTGAACTCAAGAAGATGAGTCTTCCTGACTCCAGGCCCAGCATTCTATCCACTGCAGCACCTAGTTGCCCCTTTAAAGACACAGAGATAGATAAATAGATCTATACACACACATATATACATACATATATGTATGTATGTATAAATGTACATACATATATGTGTATATCAGAAAATTATATACAAGAGTATACAAAGCAAAAAGCATAAATGAAATAAATCAATCTTGAAGTCAGGAATGTAGCAAGACCCAACAGCTCAGTGACGCTTCATCTCATAAGTACATGTATATGTGTGTATGTAGATATATACATATGCATGTCTATCTTTAAAGTATATGTATATTTATGTGTCTATGTGTGCACACACACAGATACATATACACATACATGTATACATACACACTATTAAGCATACAATCTCCCAAGAGAACTACTCTGAAGGGTGACACACTAGAGTCTTATATTCAAAGATATCCTTTATCTAGCCCCAAATGACCTTTCTTCTTTAGATATTCTACAAATAGGATTACATACCATTCCCCAAATACACTCTGCATTTTCCTGCCTTTGCTTAAGTGATTTTCTCTGCCTGGATGATACCTCCCTTTAGTTCCCTGGATCTCCATCCCAACCTACTGAAATTCCATCTAGCCTGTATAGTTGGATTCAGAATCCCCCTTCTCTCTGAAGACTTCCCTAACCAGTCTGCTATCTCTTCCTGACCTAATCTCTCCCTCTTCTACGCTCACAAAGCATTTTTTTAGGAGTGTGGCACAATAGAAAGAATGCTGGGTTTGGAGTTAAAAGACTCCTGTTCCAATCCCAGCCATGCCATTACCACCTATGTGACCACTGGCAAACCACTTAGCCTTTCGGGGTCTCAGGTTCCTATTCTCTAAAGGAAGGAGTTAAACTAACTCACCTCTAATGCCTCTTCCAACTCAAAATCTATTCTCCTACAGCCTCGTATTGCCCTTTTCACATTCTACCTTAGAACAGAAGTTTTAGTATACTTACCTGATCTTGTCCACTAAACTGAAAATTCTTGGAGAACAATGGCTGTACCTTAATCATCTTCAAAATGCCCACACTAGCTACCACATCGTAGATCCTCAGTAAATGTTTGCTGAATGAATGTGGATGTATAAATTCTGCCTTTTTAAAAAAATCAGCCTTAAAGCTGATCCCAGATTTCATGCAATGATCAATCCTGGTCCCAGAAAACTGATCGATCACACTTCCCTCCTCGCAGCAGAAGGTGAGGAATTAAAAGTACAAAATATTGCATACAGTGTCAAACACAGTCATTATATGAGTCAGTTTTGCTGGATGGTTTTTGTTCCAAAAGAATGTTCTGGGGCCAGGGCAGGGCAGTCTATCAGAAAACGACATTTGAAGGAAGACTGGACAAAAAGCATCAATGAAACAAATCAGTCTTGAAGTCAGGAATGCAGCGAGAGAACAGCTCAGAGACCCTTCTCCTCACAGCTGCATGGCCCAGCCAGTAAAGGCACATGAAGGAATCTGAGAAAGACCCCTTCCTTCAAAGGAATGGAACGCAGACTCAGGGCTTAATCAGCCAACCAACAAGGAAGTATTTATTAAGCACAAAACTGGGGGTCAGGCACTGTACTAAGTGCTGGGGATATACAAACAAGAGTCAAACCGTCCCTGCAACAGGAAACATCATATACATAGATGGGGAGATACAAAATAGAATCAAGATAATTTTGCAGGAAAGACACTTGGAGCTGGGTAGGGGGTCGTGAGGGGGAGGGTGTAATACAGAAAAACTTTGTGCAAAGGGAGCTAAGCCAGG